TTCCTAATAAATAAAAAATATTTTTTATAATTAAAAAACTATATAAACGTAGAAAACAATTTGTACAATTTTCAATATTGTGGTAGAAAAAAGCGTAAGTTGTTCAATAATGTACACCATTTTATTGCTCTTTGAAGCTAAAAAATTATAGAATAAAGCTGTATAGAGATCTTTACCCAATAGTGAAACATAAATCAATATTAAAAAAGCTGTTGCTTGAGTATCTTGTAGCGCATTTGTGGTAAATGTGCAACCACATGACTTTGGTTACGACGCCTTCAAAAAAAGGAATACAGTGAGGTTTGTAGGAGGTAAAAATACCACATATTTCACTCGCTTCCTGAGGGATCAGCTCAAGATTTTCCACATGGTAAAAAGATATTTTTTGACATCCTCTAAATACTTACAAATATAGGTACCTGTCGTAAACTTTGGGCAATACGGCGGTATTTGCAACATGTATTGTCATCGGACCCCAACAAATTCTTTTATGCCTTCCCTTTATTGATAAAAGAAATTGGCTGCCAATCGGAGCATTTACGAGGGGCGCGATGCAACACGATTGCAGCTTACTGATATTTCGTATCCACTGGTATTTTTATTCCTTCCAAATGACTTGTGTTGGGGTGGATGCGATTCTTGCGATATGTTCTCAGCTTAAGTTATAAGGGATTGATATTTCTGGAAAATATCAAGTTATCTTATATATAACACATTGATAATTGTATGTTCTTATTTTACTACCCGCTCTCCCGCGGTAGTAAAATAGGTGCCCCTATATTGAAAATTTAGCTAAATGATCATAGATATTTATTTAAATAGCCAAATTATATCATAAATCACCGCCATTATCGATATAATTAAACTACAAAAATGTGTATTCTATTCCAAATATAGAGGAAAGATTTCATGTTTTTGTTTAAGATTTCAATTAATAAATTCAAATGTTTAACCGATTTTAAAACTCCTAACTATAAAGCGCTACTTTGTTATTTATGACTAAGGTTTTTTAAAAAAAATTGAGATGTACCATAATTGTGAAGTCGAGTCGCTATGATGGCGTGTAAACTGCAAAGAAAGTCAACTTTAGAAAAGAGATGACAACATTTGTTGGTGGATATAGAAGTTGGCCAAAATTTAATGAAAAGAATTAGCAAAATAGTTCATAGCTACGATTGATTAGTTTTGAATATGAAATTAAAATGTATATTAAGGGAGTAAAATGAAGATGCTACAACCAAACTCGAAGTGTACCAGTCATAGTTGCTCTAAAGCCTCTGTTATTAGTAAACAATTTCTAACTTTTTCAATAGAAATCATATTTCCACTCTAATTTTACGTCAGTAAGGCATTTAATCGATCGAACATTGTGAAGGTAGTATAGAGATTTCATCAATTCATCATACATTAACAATGAAACTAAATAAAATAGTTCTAATTCAGCTCTATCTTTCTAGACTTGCCGATCACTATAGTACCTAGTCAATTAAGTACTCGCTCGTATTGGTCTGATCAGATATCTACTACTATCTATCTACTTACTACTAAGTATTGTTTTATATATACCAAAGGCTTTTACCCCATTTATGTGGGTGAATGGGTCACACCGTAAGTCACGTGAAGGTCGGACGTGAGCGCATTACGACTGGTTTGACGTATGGTTCGATACATCGCCCCGTACGTGATTTGTGTGAGAATGGCCTGATAGAAAAGTGTTCGAAGTACACAGAAGAACAATTTTCGTTGTAGTAATTCTGAACTGTCTCACAGAGGTCAACTTGGTGTTCACAATATCAACTAAACTGTGGTAATTAATGATTTTTAATACTGTGTTAAAAGAACTATTTAACACCACAGTTTAGTTTTAGTAGCTTAGACGAGTTTTTTTGAAGCTAAGCTGCCACTACCGTTTCTTGTGGCAAACACCAGGAATTTATCAAGATGATTTCCAAAGGGATCCGCGTTCAAGTCGACCTAATAGAGTACCTAAGGGGGGAAGGGGATTGTTAGTAATGTGGACTCATGACATGGTACCATATCAGGTTGACGTTCACGCGGTTCCCCCTGTAAACCATCGTGATAAATTCCTGGTGAAATTGTCACGATGGGCTAACTAACCTGACCTCTTGCTCATCTTATCATCCTGCACTGGTGCCCCGCCAGCGTAAGCCGTTAGCGCAGGTGGGTGCATCATTCCATTATCACCCATAAAAAAATAAATAGAGTACCTATATTGCTAACAATATCTCGATGGGGAAATTACTAATTAAATTTAACAGTCTAGTCGTAAGTTTCCTCTCATCTCTCGCCTACAACACGATGGACCCGGTATCCTTACAGTGAATAAATGGAATGCTAAGACGCCCGTCTTTCTCTCTCCTGTCCTCTCTAGATACACGAATATGAAGCGATATAGCTACAAAATTTAATAAGCATAATTTGCGGTCTGTTACAATTATTCTCTGACCATGTCTATGGGGCATTCTAGCTTATATTGAACACAGTAAAATAATACATTTATATATTTCTTTCTTTGATCTTAAATTATTTCGGACAAGACACGACTTTCCTGAGAGTAATAAACAGTCATGCAGACAAACAAATTTATAGTACAAATGTTATTGAATAGCTTAAATTAATGTAACCACACAGTTAGCAATAAAGATTTATACTATTCTATTTTATTTTAAGCATTTTTTAATATTAGTATATCTATACAAATAAGAGCCTAACTACTTAATTATTCTATGGATGAACAATAATAATAATTATGATGCAGTACAATTCAGACTGCGCTATCTAGTCTCAAGCTAAGCGCATCTTGTGTTATGGCTACTGAAGAACTGATAAAAATATTTTTTTTAACATATACATTATATACATAGTTAAACACTCCGACCTATATACATATATACAAAGAATCATATTCACGAATACAAATGTTTGTACCATGCGAGAAATCGAACCCACGCCAATCGCAGTAAGGCTGTGTACTGGACGGGCTGAACCACTAGACCATCGAGGGCGAATGTTTAGTCTGACTTTACGCAAAAATATTGTGTAAATTGGTTGATATGATGATAAATGATGGAATGTTACACATGAAAAAAATTATAAAAATACATATGAAGACTAAGCTGCAGGCAGTCGTTAGTTAAATATTATTTATATATTTATATAACATTAGAACATTATGCGATGTTATTTTTGAATTACTTTTTATTCAACAATTTAACTCAATTAAAAATAAATGTGCTAATAAAACATACCTAACTTTAAATCACATTCATGTAATTGGTTTTTAATTTTGTTACATTATTATCTGCCACTAAATAGATATAATGTAAGTAATAAAGGTGTATCTTCGAGACACACCTTTATTAATTAGAGAATATATTGACTTAGTAATTAATACAATGATATTCTAAAATTATGTATAACAGTATTTTATTATAGATTAATGTAATTAGCTTCACCTCAAATATTTAGATTATTTTAGCTTTGAAAGATCTTGAACTATAAAAAATAATAATAAATAAAACTATATACCTATGTATATACTACTACCGCATAAACTTTTGACTGTGACGACAAATATTCGCAACAACATTTTGATTAAATTCATTTGTTAATCCATTAATGTTTACTTCCATGTTGATCGGTTGGATAATTTTTAAAGATTAATAGACTTTTTTATACTTGTTATCATTTTTTCATTAGAAAAATGTTAAATTATTTTTAGCTTTAGATATAATAATTTATGGCCTTCCTATTAGTTTATACCATCTAGAATAGATACGTGAAGTTATGGTACCTTACTGGCCATTTAAATTTGTTAATATAAAAAAGGAATGTACCTATTCTTTATAATGTCACTCAATAATAAAATACGATTATATCTGTTTGCATATTTAAATGATCTTTCCTAAACTCTTTATTTACGGACTATATTTATCTTAAAACTTCCAACTTTATCTACAGAATACTGCCATCTTTCTAGTAATAATGTAAACACTGAATATACCTGCTAGCGACATCTAGCGAAAGTTATGGTCATGTTCTCAATTCGGATATTTTAACGCCTATGACTTGGTATTCTCAACTTGTGAATTAAAGCATACCGAGAATACAATGCGAAAAAAATCACTGACGTTTCTATGATACCAGTATGGTCAACAAAATTTCCTTAGTAATGTATGGAGTCTACGATATCGACATCGACTACGAGAGCGATAAGTAGACACTAAAAATATTAATATATTTTTCTTTCAATATATTCAGCATATTTTTTCTTTTTTCGCCAACCCCAAGTTAATGCGATGAAAAAGACGTAGATGATATTTTTATATTAATCCGTACATTTGACGTATAATATACAAAAATATAAAATATATGAATGAATATCGATGTCTATGAATAGAGATCGCTTAGCGATACGAGATAGACCGCCTTAAATATATTTTTGTGACTGGTGTAATAAAGTGATTATACACTTTATTTATGTAAATAATAATAAAAATAAATGTAATAGTAAACATTTTATTTCTTCATTTATTATTATAATAAGTTAAGTGACTTCGACTTAGATTTTCATACAATAAAATATAATTATTAAATTGCCTCCAAAACCTGCTATTGTTGCATCGGACACACTATGCTTTGATACCTATCAAAGTAGTACCTAGTTGTACCTACAATAAGGGATCAATTATTTGCCAAATTATCTAAATAAAGATCTATTTAAATACATGTCATGATAATAATTTTTATTTTGTTACTAATTTTACACTATGACACTATCAAAATCTATACGTAAATATATTAATTTATTCGTCTCACATCTTACTACTTCTGTCTAACTGTGTGGGAAAAAATATTAACTGGCGACCCAGCGAAGGTCAGTATCAATGAGATTGACGTCAGTTAGCATGTCAGTTAAAATAGTTTGTGTCAGTGAAATGTATTCCACGCACGGTTTTGCATTCGGGTAGTGTTATTGATCCACCAAATCATTCGTAACATTTTTAAAATAAGATATACAAACATTTATTTCGACCGTCTTCAGTAATTTAATTTCACCAGTAGATACAACTCAGTTTTCAAACTGTGTGTCCTTATTTTTTTACCGTTGTTTAACATATAATTATCACGGGGAGTATAAATTGTGAGGCGGGAAATAGCCTTTAATCGATTAAGTATTATGTTTTCTCGTATTCTTTCTGACGTGAACAAGATGTTTTTTAGAGTTTTATATACGTTTAGTCTCTACTTAGTATTTACGAATGCTTACGAAGTCGATAGCTATGATTTTCTCATGCCCAATGTCTGGCCGCATAGGGTAAGTACCTTTTCCCGACTTTTTTAATTACTTAATACTGTAATTTAAAATAATGTTAAGTATTAGTGTTTTGTCAATGAGCTTTAAAACGTAAAAATAAATAAACGTGATAGTAATACTTATAAAGCATTAATATCTTGTTTATTAAATAATACATATTTTAAAATGACGGATTTCTCGCTTCATTACTAATTATTCCATTATTTAGTAACTGTCACAGTTTAAAGTTACTTGTGTCTCTTGTGAATTATATAGTTTTTAATATATATAATAATAAATAAGAAATTGTATATGTTGTATATATTGAAAGCATTTTTGTTTTTGTGATTGCTTTAGATTGTTTGTCAGGTAAATTTAAAAGACAATTTAATAAACCTGATTTAAATCAGAACATATAATGAGATTAAATCATCTAAACATTTTTTTTTGCAAGGAGCATAAATAGGTATCTATAGAATTTTGTAACTAGTTAGACATGCCTTGGTACACTACCAAAATTATAAAAAAGTACTGCAATAAAAATATAGGAAAAAAAAAATTTTTTTTTTAAAAAATATGACCAATTTTGATATGGTATGCTAGAGTTAAATATGCAGCATTACTATGTGTACTAGATGCTCAAAACACTGTATTGTAGTTGTATTTTTTTTGTGTAAAACCCTTTTTTTAATAAATTTAGTCTTTTTCAATTCTTTATCAATGTATTAATTTTTCAATTCTTTATATGTGTATCAATAGACAACCATCATACATAGATGGTTGTCTATTTCCATCATGTTACAGTCATTTCCAAAATATGGTAGTTACTGCCCATCAGGTATATATCATATATATCACTGACTCTTATGCCACTGTTCAGTGCATTAATTTTATTTATTTTAACTATCACTGTATGTCATAATAAATTTCCATTGAGTGCTTTTGAAACCCCATTTAGCTACAGCCGGAGCAATAGCAGAATTCATATTCACCCTTCTTCCTCAAACTTCAATTGTGAATTATTTTTTTCGAAAATAGAATTCATATTCACCATTCTTCCTCAAGCTACTACTATTTGAATTAATATACCGAAACTCTCACCACAACTGTATATTAAATTAAATTAAATTTTATTTAACAATCCAAATTTGAGAAAAATATTAAGAAAACTAGAATTGGTAGGCCTTAGTAAAAGTTTAATTCAAAAGTAAAGTGGATGCTCCAACAAATATATTATAAGTAATTAGAATTTGTTAAAACCTATAAAAATACTAACAGTAACTGATTTGAACAACTGCTCTTTTTATTACATCCAATGGTTTTAAAAAAGGAAATATATTAAATTTGAAATATAGTATCACCTGTACATAGTTGTACATATATTCTATTAGTACATAGCAATATGTACACACACACAGTTAGACATAAGTGATGACATCATGACCTTGTTAGCTAACTAATATTATTGATCACAGTTGCAAAATAGTTTGGTCACATCTTTATTTGAATATATTTTATATATATAAAATAAATTATTATATTATTAACATAATGTAAAAGTTAATTAACACACAATAAACACACTAATTTGAGGAATTATTCCACTGTTTTAAAGGACAAATTATTCCAGAATATCATCTCTGAGAGGATTCGAACCTACTACCATCGGATGTAAGGTAGTGCACTTAACTGCTAGACAATTGAGACTATCAATTTATGATTGACCTCTTAGCTGTTATCACTAAACAAGGTTTCAGTATGTTGCTGTTGTTTTATGATCCCAATAAATAGATCTATAGGGAATTTAATCAAATTTTTCCGTAGACATTAGTTACCTTGGCGTAATGCCTGGTGAGTTGCTGTGTGTGTAATAATTAGTCAACATCAATATTCAGAATACTGAAATACTGGAGAATCTGACGACCTTGGTGGTATAGCGGTCCAGCACACCGCTTTATGTCCAATGGTCGCGGGTTCGATTCCTCGCACGGCACAAACATTTGTATTCACGAGTATGATTGTTTGTATCGGTCTGGGTATTTTCTATGTATAATATGTATGTATTTACGAAAAAAAAATTCTATGTATTTGTATCAGTTATCTAGTACCCATAACACAAGCTTTAGCTAGCTTAACGTGAATTGTCCTGAGATTATTATTATTATTATTACTCTGATAATAATAATAACTCTGAGTCTGGAGAATGTAAACCTCACCTAACCTGAATGTAATATTGATTAATGTATTTTTGCTAATCTTCTATGATCTTTATACATACATATAATATTAACTTTCTCTTAGTTTAACAACGAGCTGTGCCCGCGGTTTCACCCGCATTAAATTTCAATATAATATATAGCCTATGTCTTATTCTGATGCATAAGCTAATATTACTGTAAACTTTTATCAAAATCTGTTCAATAATAATATAAGTCATTACTTGCTCTATTTCTGTTTTTTTTCCGTAATGTTACTTCATTACAATTTCATTTAGATATCGCCTTATGTGTCTATGTACCATTGTTATCAAATTGACCACAAATAGAGATTTTAATAATCAATAACCACTTATGATACGCCTACATCTGCGTGTAGGTGTAGAAGTCTCAATAAGTGGATTTCATTGGAAATATTTACTCAGCCCTTGTAAATATAGGTATTTGATCTATATTTGACGGCCCCGGTGGTCGTGCGGTTTAGTAAACCGCCATTCTTCCGATGGTAACGGGTTTGATTACATTCGCACGGTACAAAAATTTATTTTCACGAGTATAATTGTTTGTGTCTGGGTGTTTTCCATTATATGTATATATTTACAAAAGAAAATGTATCAATGTATTTATGTCTGTTGTCTAATACCCACAATACAAGCTCTGGTAAGCTTGGGACTAGGTGGTGCTGTGGGAATTGTCCCGGTGTTATATAGGGCTACCAAATTGTCATTCCCTTCTACAGAGCATAATATTAGATGTATACATTATTATGTGTTGGAATTTCGTGACCCTTATCTCATTATTTTATTTCTACAAAAGAATGTGCTTAGTAAATCAAATATTTGGTTTTGTGTAAATTGTCCTCAAAAAACACCTGTTGCCGTTATCCTCTGGAATATAATGGACCAATGAACTGCAGTAATGTCTAAATAAAGACCTATTTAGATTGCAGTGAAGAAATTTTAGTATGATATAATCAGGAAATCATCATAATCGTGAAATTTCTTTATAGCAGAGAATTTGGTATCTTACATAGTATAATAGCGAATATTATTAGGCGATATTAGTAGACAATTTATATGATCTTTTTTTCTATTTTAGGACGAGTTGTACCTTTGCACGCCGATCAGGATTTCACCACAGACCAATTATTACATAGGTATGTATTATAGATTAATATTTCTCTATATCTTCTGGCCACCAAATGGTCCGGATAGAGAGCCATAGAGTATAAAAATATCAAATTGTCAATGTACCTTTTTGAAATAGAATGGTAATAATTACAAAAGTATGTTGTCTCAGTCCTAATCTGTTAAATATTTATTAGTTTAATGTGACATGATGTAACCTTAGAACCAATACTATGCTATATATAATAATATATTCTAGGTATTACAGGATTACATAACGTTATACCATCGTCTGTTAATCAAGATGAATCCCACGAAGGTACTATAATTGTCTCGACTTCACGGGTCTCTGAAACTATAGATCTGTACTAAAATTACATGTATAATTGAAGAGTTTGTTTGTTTGATTGAATGTGCAAGTCTCTGTCACTACTAGATCGAATTGAAAAATTCTTTTTGATGTTGGATCGACCATTTACCTAGGAACGCTATGGGCTACGACAGTGGAGCATCCATGAAAAATCATGCATAAAAGTGGGAATAGAGACGCAGGTCAAGTAAAGCGGGTCACCTAGTTATATATCTTGACACATTACTTTTAATTTGGTAAATAAATGTACTGTTGTCTATGTATTTCTTTACAGTGGGTTTCGAACCAAACGCGTCGATGCACACTGCTCATCACATGCTCCTGTATGGCTGTTCAGACCCGGGCTCCAATGATTCAGTGTGGTACATAATGTTTAAAACTCGTTTATTGCTACATGATATTTACAACAAATTTTTTTAATAGCAATGGCTAACAATCTAGTATTCTAGCTACTGGTAAGCAGGAACCATCTCCTATATAAAAAATATGGAACATAATCCACGGGCAACATGTCTTTTTGTCTTTTTACTATGGATAATAATGATGAACGCACCTGCGTTCGTGACTTACGCTAGCGAGGCACCACTCACACGAGGATGATAGAATGAGCATAAGGTCAGGTCAATAAGCTCATCATAAAAAACAAGTTTACTAAGAATTTATCACGGTACTTTCCATGGTGAACTGCGTTAATGGGGTTATTAGTTCGCATTACTAACAAACCCCCTTCATTCCCGGCCATAATGTACTTTTTAACGATAATAATAGAATGGTGCCCGCCTGCGCTAACGATTTACGCTGGTGAGCACCAGTGGAGGATGATAAGATGAACACGAAGTCAACTCAGTTAGCCCATCATTACAAATTCACCAGGAATTTGTCACGATGTCCAGGGAGAACCGCGTGGAAGTCAACCTGACATGGTAGATTGCTAGCAATGGGGTTATTAGTCCACATTACTAATAATCCCTTTACTCCCCGGGCATTACGATATTATGTGACACCCCTGGTACCATTGATGTGTTGCCATCCCAGACGACTAATGTCTTTTATACAGTAATTTCCAGGCTAATCGAACACTATAACCGAAACACAGCTTAGAAAACAAGCTTCTTAGTGGCTGTAATATATGTATTAAACTGAGATATGGTTTCAAGTCCACCTCTGGTGAAACTTGTGTATGTGTATGTATTTTTTTTTCGCTGTACTTGCTTAGTAAACCTGTCTCACATTATTTGGTTCAGTCGGATAATTGTCCCATGCCCGTTCCGGTTGGCGATTTTCTCAAGAGGGCCGAGCTGAATGCCAAATGCACCAATTGAACGGTAGTCGTAGAGGAGAATCCTACGGCTGAACCTAATAATGTGAGGCCAGATTTAATTGTCTACGACCTTCATACAAGTACGAGCAATAATTTAACTGATATCGCAGTGGTATGATAGGTATATCAGCGTATCAAATGTTAACAAACCAGTATTGATTTTTATAATCAAGCACCGTAGTCCCTAGGTTGCCAAACTTTATGCATACAGTTCAGTGGTAGGTACTTCAGGTGTTGCGTCCAGAAGATATATTAGTCTTGCCTGCGTATCACGTAATCTATACATATAAATAAAATAGAAGTATCTGCTTATAATTTCTAATTAACAACTTTTTACTAATTTGTAAAAATTATGTCCTAATATGTAAGCTAATCTCTAAAACAGTTGGAACGATTTTGACGTGACATTCACTCGCAGATAGCTACTGTTACAAGGAGTAACGTAGGCTACTTTTATTTTAGACATCTAAGCAAAGATAGACAAATATCACGCGGACGTAGTCGCGGGTAACAGCTTGTTCATAATAAAATTAGGTGCCTTGTGTAGTAAAACGTCAGATGATTCTCGAACTGATTTATTTTAATGACGTATTCTATAATCCAAATCAATACAAACTGTGCAACATATCCACACAAAATCATATTATAAAATTATTACTACAACTTGTATGAGCCAATCATGTTTATGAACTGGTCGTTCATAACCATGATTGGTTCAACTATGGAGTTTACTCTACCTTTAGCTTTCGGAATGTCACTCATGAGTACGGGCGTCGTATATCACGCTAAATGTACTAACATAAGTTATCATTAACTTCCAGGAGCTGTGGTGAGATGCAAAGCAACGAGATCGATGATATGTACAGTACTGCCAGTCCCTGTCGTTCTGGATCACAGGTAAAATCACTTAAAATCTGCAAACAAATACAGTGAAATAAAATAATAAAAATCTGAAATGTATAGAACAAAATAGAATAGAAACTCATTTATTCACATAAACTTATATTGAAACACTTTTGAATAGTCATCACATTTTTTCAATCTCCAGAAAGCTGTCTTATCACAAGAAAAATGAGCAAGAAACTTGCGTGTTGCTGTTTTAAATAATTTTGTTGTTACGTACAACAAAATTATTTAAAACAAAAAATTATTTACATTTTTAAGTTGAAATGTGTGAATACGAACCACCAACTAACACTAGTTCAATTAAACTCAATATATGCAATGTATATCATCAAAATAATTAATCATCTGCAAAAATTCAATGAAATGAAATAAAAAAAAAACTTTATTAAATAGGATGGTCTACCGTGGTATACTGGTCTCAGTACAAACTTCGTCATCTATCACTATCATTTATTTATTTACGAATTCGAATCTTGTCTATCGGAATAATAAAGTTCATTTTTCTTTACGTATTAAAATGTAGACGTTTTAATACTGATGTACTTTAATAATGCACATAACGAATATATTATTGTTGTAGATTGTATACGCCTGGGCTCGAGATGCACCAAGCCTGCATCTGCCTGAGGATGTCGGCTTTCTTATTGGCAGGGACTCGCCCATCAAGTACTTAGTACTGCAAGTACATTACATGCATGGTTTCCCAGGTGAATGTTTATATAATAAATAATAATAAATAATAAAATGTATATATATTTATCTAAAACTAGCTGTACCCGCAACTTCGTCTGCGTGGAATTTAACTTTATTTTCTAAAACAAAAGTAGCCTAAGTTACTCCTTATTACTAACTCAGCTAACTGCCAAAAAAAGTCCCGTAAAGTTATATTTGTTTTAGAATTATAACTTTAACCTGAGAAATGCGACTTTTTGCATTTCGTATTTATTTTAAAATACTGTGTAAGATATATATTAATGATGCATTGATTTGAGGTCTAGTTGATTTATTTGTATCTTGTAATTGCAGGGGGCAAGACCGACAATTCTGGAGTATTTCTCAAATATACGAAGAAACAGTAAGTTTTTATTATTTCTAATATTAATTATTTCTTTCTCTCTGTTCTCTCCTTTGAGTATGATTATTTATTGGGTACTACTCCCAGAAGTTATTATAAAAGGCAACTGATTCTACATGCTAGTTATATTGTAGTCTTACATAGACGTGTATAAAACGGGAAGTATACGCAATAGTAGATATTGCTACTGTCGAAAAGTGCCACAGAGTAAAAAGTTTACTGCATTCCGTGGTTCCGTGGTATCTCCGCTTTCCTGCGTTCAACGTTTTAAATTGATAATTTTACAAGAAGTTGTTACAAGAATAAATAAAATAAAAGTATATCGTACTAGCTATGCCTGCTAAAAAATAAGATGCATGTAAATTTATTTATTTACATAAAGTATTATTTTCACTGTTTTTCGTTATGACTGCTCTACAACGCTATTTCTACCTGAAGTTTAGCCGGTAGAGAATGCCATACAGCATTACGCTTGCCTCTTGTACTTTTTATTGTGCAACATAAAATAAAATAAAAATATATAAATTTTCAGTATGCCACGACAAGCGGGCGTGATACTCCTCGGCACAGGTGGAATGGTACCTCCCAATGGCATTGAGCACATGGAAACAGCCTGCACCGTCCGCGAAGACAAGGTCATACACCCGTTTGCTTTTAGGACACATACCCATGCTCTCGGTGAGTTCTAATAAGAAAATTCTATAGTATGTGTTAGCATAGACGGAGGAAATTGTTTCCCGTTTGTTAGAAGTATAGTATATATCTATAGTCTGAGGTATATAGATGTTGTATTATATCAGTAAAAGAATATTTCTCTATGTAAAGGTAGTTGTAAAATAGTTTAGATTGCAATTAACAGAGCAATGGTTGGTTTCTATAAAGTTATTAGAAATTTATAGAGAAAAAGAAAATTGCAACTTTCGTGTTTAGTACGCATTAATAATATAGTTATTCGGTAAAGCTAGGGAAGGTACTTTTATTTACCATATACCATAAATATTCGTGTAAAGGTATTGAGAACAAATATTCGCTTAATTAATAATAAATATTATAAATTCATTTTTTAATTTAATATAATATAATCGCCATCTACCACTTTCTGTTCTCTCTCGTCTACCCAAAGGTTGTCTGGAAGAGATTGCTTACACGATAAGACCGCCTTTTGCAAGTTACTTCTGGTGCAATAAAGTGTAAATAAATAAATATAATAGAGTATTAGATTATAGTTTATTAAAAAAGAAAATTATGTGATTACAATTCAATTATAAACATTAGTACAACCGGGCGAGAGTAGTATTTTGGTATAAATTAAAATAATATGTATTTAATATTTCAATATATTGCACAGGTCGTGTTGTATCTGGATACGTAGTACGCCGAAAGAACTTCGGTGACGTATGGCAGCTTATCGGAAAGAAAGACCCCCAGTTACCACAAATGTTCTATCCGGTGGTGAACGACTCGCCAATAGGCAGAGGTGACGTTTTAGCCGCTCGCTGTACCATGAACAACACTCACGACTACCCTGTTAACATTGGGTGAGCGTTTTTTTTAGTTACTGCCAAAATGTTATACAAATTATAAATAACTAGCATCTACCCATTTCTCGGCTTGTTCTATACTATAACACTCATATACGTATAATTATTATAGACAAATTGTATAGTAGCTGTAGTGAATGGAAGAGAAAAACATATTAGGCCGACCCCAAAATAAATGGGATAAGGAAAAAGTAGATGATGATGATGATGATGTAGTGAAAGAAAATATAAGTGCATAAATGACAAAATAATGTTATTTCTATACGAATAACGTTTTTTTGAAATTACTAATCTGTGTGAAATTATTACTGTATAATATTACACTATTGTGTCGTCGTAGTAATAAGATTAATGATCACCATTTAAATTCCTCCCCAGAGCTACAAACAAGGACGAAATGTGCAACTTCTACCTAATGTACTGGGTGCAGGATGACTCTCCTCTAGAACAGAAGTACTGTTTCTCAGCCGGGCCTCCCTTCTACTTCTGGCATAAGGCGCCGTTGAACTTCAATCGTATTCCAGAACTGGAAGCCAGCACGTTGTAAATCACAAGGTATTAGCTAATTTATGACGTACGAGGGACTAATCGACTTTTTCCATTAACTAACGAATTCGGCTGGTTGTATTGAAATGCGAATGCATAAATCGATAGACTTAAAGCTGCGTATTTAATTATTAGTTAGTATCGAGACTTCTTTGTGATGGATATTACGTATATTTTGTTACTATTGCTACACGATTGAGATTGCACTTAAAATAAGCTAGTAGCCCGTCCTAACTTTCTCTAGATTAAGAAATATGCAAAATATATGTCCATTATATGTATATAATAATGTAAATCCCGCTTTCTCTTGGTCCATGGCATTACGCGTGAACGGCTGGACCGATTTCGCTAATTCTTTTTCTGTTGTTTTTGTTGTCAGAACGTTTGTATGAAAGAAAAAATGTAGAAAGTTATGCGGAACATTACAAAAATTGCAAATTACATAATAAAGATAGGATTTTTTGCATATACACAGTCACAAAAATGTCTTATATTATTAGGTTAGATGATAAAAAAAATAAATTGACTAGTCATTTCTTTTTAGTGAGCTATATAGAAAATTAAAAGTCGAATCGTATAATGCAATTTAAAAATCCTAGTATGATTAGTCCCTTATTCGTCTATGCTCTGGATTAAGCGGTCAATTGATCTTGGTGTATATCATATTTATGAATATTTATTGCAGTGTTTGTATTGTCTTTTAGAATAATTGTATATTTGCAAAAATATTATACTATTTGAGATCTTGCAAAATTTGCTCGCCTATATTTCTGAAACCAGTTGTTGAATAGTTCTTATGTTATTATATATGATTAGACAGATATATGAATAAGCATGACAAATAGAGTTGCATTTTAGTATAGATCTGTCTGTCACAAAATTGAATGCTTACAATCCGCAACTAGGAATAAAAGTAAGTTCTATAATTTTACTGTGATTAACTTACTTTGAGTTTACTTTTAAACATCGGTTTAGTAAAAGAATAGTGTTTTAGATGTCATATTCTATTTAAATTTTTAGTAGAGTTTTTGCCGCTTAATCACATATTAAGCGGTTTCATTAACGGGCACATAACCTGAAAAAATAAAAATCAACGTAACAGGGTAGGGTAGTTTGAAATACTTGATTCATAAGCACTACGTATTTTGTAGATTTACTAGCTGTGCCCGCGGTTTCACCCGCGTGAAATTTATAGCCTATATGTTATTCTGATGTATAAACTATATTACTATAAATTTACATCAAAATCGGTTCAGTAGTTTTTACGTGAAAGAGTAACAAACATCCATCCATACTCATAAACTTTCGCGTTTAAAATGTTTATGTCATAGTCTTACTTATGGCATTATACTTAATATAAAAAGATCCAAGAATATCATTGCAAAAAAAAAAATACCGCTATATGTTGCAATCCCGTTATCCTATTTCCAAGGGAATTACACTATTTTTTAATGGCTTAATGGAAATTTAATAACACAACTTCCGCCTAGAGGATATATAAATTTGGCAGTCGCGACAAGTATATAAAGAGATGTTACAATTATTATGAAATTTAAATATTTAGACTAATATCAGGTAAAATGCTTGTAGTTCCAAAGATACAAGAGACTACACCCGTTAGATATAAGAATAAAATACGTTTTCAATATAGATCTGATTTATTTAAATTTAAATATTTAAATTTTAGTTGATCTAATACTATTAAACAAATACGTTCCTTATAGTCTGTGTATATGACACTTCTGTATTAAAATAATAATTAATACAGTTTTCTATTACTGCCTTCCCATGTCTAAATAAAGTATTCAATAAAATATCTATATATTTTGTATAATAATATTTTGAAAATATATAGAATTTATCTGTATTTTATCGCTACAATTTATATTTATCAATTTGCCTAAATGTCAAAAATTTTTAAAAATATGCGCGACATAATAATCTGAATAATAATTATATATACTACTTTAGTAATAAGGAAAAATATGTCTGATTAACGTAAATATAAATAAAGTATATATCACTATATGAGTAAATTGCCTGCTCTGAAAGAAAAAGGCGTCAATTTTGAAAATTCCCAATTCTTGTATGAATTTAAATATCAATATGATACTAAGTAAATGTTCTAAACTTTTAAAGAAATACAAAAAAAGCATAATATATTATATTTAATAGGTAATTGTTTAGTCTAATAGATATTTGTGAAAATAAATAATTAAACTTACAAAAAACCCAAAAATACCCAACTCATTACAAAAATGTATTATAACATTAGTTCTTATTTAGGAACAAGTATGAAAAAAAATGACTTTGGCATGATTTTGGACTCCGATTTGTAAATAGGTAGTAATATAATAATAAAAAATGTACTAGGTATAAGTTCTATAGTTTGAGTTGAGTACTTTCATATATTTAATTTAATTATAACAACTTCTATGTCTATATATTATGTTTATATAATTAATGAAGTGCGAGATTCAAAAAAGAAGAATTTTTTATTGACTTTGACTATATTGTTAACCCTTTTAAATTTATACTCAGAGACAGTATTATATAATATTCTTTTGACATTATGACCCTATGAGAATTATATTTCAATACTGTATCCTAAATGGCTGACCAGTATTCTAGTTATCTCGATGCTATATTTATGCAATACATGTTATATTTTCTATGCAATCTCCTTTTAACCTGTATTTAATAATTTTGAATCCACTTGGCTGACTTGTAGCAAACGAATTGATTGATGAATAGTAATACATTGATAACATATTTATGTACAAAATGTACATTTATGCCATTACCTGCCTTTACAAGACGCATTCTTTCACACGCTATCAGGAAAAAAAGCCAGCGCACGCAATCGTGAGGGATTTTTGTTTGTTCGCTCTTTTGATCGTGCGCAACATATGATTCATGTCATTTCACCTTCTTTTAAAACATTTCATTTTTATTTCAGAGATTTTATTTACCAGGTAGATGTTCAAAATTTATAAATTGTCAATAATTGTATAATTATGTTTCTGCTTATTGTTTTTGATTTATTCAAGAGTGCCATTTATTATATTATCAATGTGATTTCGATTCGTCATGCCTCAAGTTCCCCTGCTGTAGATAACGAAGGATTCATAATAGTTTATAGTATATTTTTTCGACTGAATTTTACATTCCACTTTCAATCTACCTCTATGAGAAGTAAAGATGTTTATAGATAAAATCATGTGTTTATAAAAGAAATGGTACTAAATTTAACTGGATAAAGTAATATCTGAAGTAACAACTGCGTGGAACAATGGCGAAGTAATTTCTCGGTCCTTGAAAGAAATTAATATTCTTTTTACCTAATAATAAATGTTACTTTATATTTTAATGCACTTAATTCATTAAGATGAACGTACGTGGATTTCAAATCCATTTTAACGAATATGTAAGAAATATACTGAAATATTTTTTTTTATTTCCTAATAACTTATACTCAAAATATGACAACTAAAATATAACCTACAAAAACGTGTCAACATCTGATCTTGTATGTATTCGCCATTGTTTGTTTGTTACATCCATATCGACTATGAATGTGTGTTTGCTAATATATCTACTTGTACTTATTGAATAATCAATCTTTCTGTCCAATAAATGGTACAAAAATATGTATAATCTCATAATCAACATAGAAATTTCTTCTAGTCTTTCGTTGTACCTAACGTATGGTTTAAGTTTTTTTTTACCTTCTTTATCCTAAAATTTATTTATATTTACTTTTAATTTAACGTCTCAATAATTTAAGAATTTATCTAACAATATATTTATACGATTGTTTCACATAATATATATTTTAAAATCAGAATATTAATAAATAAGTATGTGTTAATAATAGATAGAAATAAATGTATCAAATACATAATATGCACGTATAAGTTCCCAAGACATTGATGTATTGAATTCGATGTGATTAAATATGAATTGTAGAGAATAATGTGACAAAACTTGTGGCATTTTTAACTAGCTGATTTGATAAAGTATACAAAGTATAGATTTTGACAAAGTACGGTTTCTCTTTTGAATGCTGAAAGTGCAAGTGGCGCCATCTATAAGATAGTCACATTATTCTAAAAATACTTGTAAATAAATGTGTTGTAATAGATATCATATTATACGTGTTAGACACGATATCGTCTTTATTAATATTCAATTTCTCGTTGCAATTACATCCATATTCTGTTTTTTAATGTTATTATTAATTTGACATTTTTGTACAAAACCAGAGACTAACATTTACTTTTGTATATTGCTGTTCAATACACAAAATAAGTTTATGTAAAGTTGTCTTTTTCTTTTGTCTTATTTTCTATATATCAAAGAAAGAAACAAATATATGTAATAGTTGAAATAGTTTGTATGAGATTTTTGTTCTTATTAATAATGGTTTTAGTCTCTGGTTTACTCTTAAACTGAACTTTCTCTATATATTTTATAGGAAACATCTGTGTAATATTGGAAAAACTATTTAAATTATACAACTAATTACGTTGAATTATTATTTACGAAGTACAATCAGTTACAAAAATGTTCAAATTACCTTTATAATAATCTAAATACTAATAAAAATAAAGTCAATGAATAAAATAATAATTCGGTTGTAATTTATGTTTATTGAATTTTAAACAAAAGAGGTTAAGTTTCATACTTTAGATACAATTATTTATGAATTTGCAGCTATTTATTCTGACTTTATGGCAGAAATTTATTATTGAATTTCCAATCTGAAATTCTCGGCATATCAATATATATATCATGATTATGTGCCCTAAATATGACACATAACTGATTGCTAAGCAGTACTATACATGAAGTTTGGTTACATGGATGTTAACAATAATCAGTAATGTATTAATAAAATTAAGATTATCTGAAAAAAAGATATCTTTATAACAGGTAATCACATCTTTGACCATTCTAGTACTAGTATATAATTATATAGTTGTCTTATTGTCGTTTCTATACGTATATTGGTATCTATCTACTGTCCAGATGAAGTACTTACATAATTTAAATGAAATGTGATAATATCATGCAGTATTGTTGGTCAATTCCGATGATTCCAGTCCGTTTTTAGCTTAATTACATATTATAATTAAAAAAGAAGGTTTATAAATGCCAAAAATTTGCATTTTCATGTATTTAGAATATAATTTTCGAGAACATTCCAGAAATATATAATTGAATGTATATTTTTGTAACTGACTACCTTTAGAATGAAAATGTAACTGAATTTATATTTGTTTATTAAATTTTATTCTATATAACCTATCTCGTGTTGTAACAGTTGTTAAATCAGAAATAAAATATAATATATTTTAAATATCGGTTTTTTATTTATATTCTTACACAATCTACAATGTTATATGTATTGCTTAATCCTATGAATTCAAATCTTCTGTCTTTTATACAAATAATTATGATTTTTCTACTGCTTTATTTTATTAATTTACTAATTCCATCGTTAATGGTCTATGGCTATTTCGATGGTCGTATGTTGGATTCCTCGCAAGGCGCAAACTCATAAATAGGATTGTGTGTATCATTATGAATGTTTTCTATGTAGGTCTAATATGTATATGTTTACACAAAAAAATGTATAAAATATTTTTATAAAAATGTATTTAAGTATACCTAACAGTCTAGTGCCCATAACACAAGCTCTGCTTTAACTTGGGAGTACATGTCCCTGTGTGAATTATCAAGAGTTATAAAAATAGTAAAGTATAAGTATAATAAAATATACCTATGTATTTAAGTTTTAGAGTATATAAAAGAACGGAATAAACACCTGCCCTGGCTAATGAAATATATCTATGCATGTTTGAAAAATGTTTATTCTGTAATGTTTTTCTAAACACTTCAAAGTGTTCTTCAGCGAAGTTTCAACATAATTGTATGTTTTTCCCTTCTCATTGTGATTCAGAAGCACAACTACCTAGTCGCTGTTGATTGGCTAACTTCTGTACAAATTGCAAGGTTTTCT